CATATATATAAATTTATGATCAAGTGTGTATATATGTGCTTGTGTGTTTTAAAATACTCAGGCTATTGGAGCCATCAAAGTGAATTTAGAACATTTTGGAAATATTGGAAAAGAACTTGTATTGAAATATTTTAATACAAATAAAATCTTGATTTTTAGACTGACCGGAGGCCGTATTCTTTCACTTCTTGCTATGCAGCGGAAGAAATAGACAACGCACCGCTCTCACAGTTGGCATTGGAAGCCGCGAAATTGCATATCTTCGACCAGACAGACCTCATAATGGGCCTGAAAGCGCTGGCACCGCAATTCTCCGCCGAGGCAATACAACCAACGGATGCCGACGAAGTGGGCTCAGGGGTCCCCGCCCCACGCTTTATGACACTCCATCACACGGGGACGTAGCCACAGGGTACAGCAAACATGGACGATATCATCGTCGTCCGGCACAACGACGGTACCCAGGGCTATGCGGTCATTCGAAAGGAGATCATCGACGTCGACATCACCATCACGGGTCACTCAAAGCTCTTTTCAGTTGTTCTCGCAGCCAGTACTCTGAAATCGGCGCAGCAAAACTATGGCGCTACGGGCCGCGATATGACGGGGTGTAAATTTGCAGCCAAGTAGGCTTTGAATATCCTGCAGCGGTTGCATCTCCGTACTGGATATCATGAAGAACCTCGGCAAAAACACCGAGGACAATACAATGGAAAGTCGCCGAATCCTCCGGTCTATCCAGGTCATGCATGAGTTACAAATTGGCTACCAGTATATCCCAGGGCCTCTAAACATCTTCGTTGACCACATGTCGCGGTGCTGCAACCATATGAACCCACTCGTGCTCCCAGCGAACAAGCGTCAGGTCCTGGCGGCACTCATCATTGCAACTAAACCGTCTGTGGTTACATCGATCCATTGAGGTTTTTGGAGCCGAGTACGCAATTGAGATATTCGTCAGAGAGGAGAAAAATCTACAGGCGGTCTATTGCAGTAACGAACGGGGGGGGGGGGAGTGAAATATGGCTGTGGCTTCTTCGATCTTGAACTAGACGACAAACATTGCTATGGGAACTCTCCTTTTGATATATTGGCTGGTGTATTGTTGGAATGATAGCGGCCCGCCAAATCGTGACCACAAATGAGGTGGACATATCTCTCATGAGAGGGAATCGGGCGGTTGGCTAACCGCCTTGGAAGTATACGCTCCTGGCACACGTCAAGAGTGGAGCAGGCATGAAATTATCCCGTGCCCCGATCTTTCTGGCGCCAACTGAACCGTAGCGGTGCTCCGACCGCCCGATGGCATGTTGGCCACCAATACCGATCGGCTTCGTGCTTCTCGATCACGACGCGCGCTCAGAAGGTTGTCGATGCACACCTGGGCAGTGCCGAGGGCGATTCGCCTGTTGTGGTTCAAACTTGATAAGACAATGGTCTCTGCACACCGAACTGGTTGAACAACCAACCCTCGATATACAGGAGCTCCCAGCGGAGGTCAACTCTCTGCCGGACAGGGATGTCAGCCGGGTGCGTATACGTGATCTTTTTTTGACCAAAGTTTACTCCAACAATCGGTTGCCCTCGATTCAAGTTCTTTTATTAGTGGCGTGAATCAGTACTCATTACGAATCGGGGTGGATGAACCCAGCTTTCAATTTGCTTTCCACAACGCACGTACGGAAACAGTGCGTGTTTAATATGCTGACATACGAGAAGACATCAACCTGCAGTTAGTATTCCTACCGCAAGCACCCTGAATAGTGTCTTTTTGGTTTGAGTGAAGATGGGGGGCATTATAGGTCATAATTAGGTAGTGCTTTTGTTCTTCTGCATGTAATCGTAGTATTGTTGGTATGTTTACCGTTCTATTCTGAGCCACTCTAAAAAATGTAGTTTACTATGTCTGCGATGAGACATTGCTCGTCGATTTTACGCTATCTATAGTACTTAAAATACAAAATTACTGTCGCAGTACAAACCACATTTAGAACACTATCAGCAGGCGCTTCCGATCAATTTCGGTTGTAGAGTTTTTTTCGCTCGATATTGCAATATGCAACATTGCCAGTGTAGAAACGGACGGTATCTGAACGGACATCACTTTTAACAAGAAGTATAACTGTCCCTTCCTGCAATTACAAACGTTAAAGTAGGGGTCAACAATTGTGAGACTGATGGTCATCGTCTAGTGTAGATGTATTTACATTCACGGCAAGTCTGTGCTGTATATAAACCGACATGTTCTAATTAATTTTGAACGTGTAATACCCAATCTTTATTGTTTCTATTGTCCTGAAGGTTGACATTAGATATAAATTGAGATAGCTTTCGTATAGAGTATACAGAGTACCTGGAAAGATATGACCAAAGGAAACAATAGACCTCATCTCAAGTACGTTTATCTCAGCAGAAAAGACTTGTATTTTTGAATTCACTTGACTTAAAATTTCTACTTGAGTGTTTCTCTCATACGCGGGGTACCGGTATCCTTTACCGCTATATTTCTGGTGACTCTAATTTCAGGAACATTGGATCCTGTCCCAAAACTCAGTCTTTGATGATTTTGTGGCTTTGGGTTTGAATTGTCTTTTCTAATAATCCAGTCCCTAAGACTGTACTGCCGAGTCTAATTCATACCTACATATTGACGGAGAAATCGTGTAAACACATATCGGTATGATGAGTCGGACCAGAGTGTCAGGTTTTGTGTCCAATGCGGACTGTAATTCGTAGCAAATCTATGTCTGCGCATTGCGTGTACACGTGCTTGGCGTTACTTCCACTCACTAACGGTCACCTATGGAATTGAATGAAGTCGCTGGATGCTTTAATTGCCATTTCCTCCTACAACAACGTGAGCGCTCTACAAGTCGACGCTAGTTGTCGGGCACCTAACAGGAAGTGGTATGCGCTGAAAATACCGTTCTCGATCACAAACACCGAATCTCACTAGTCAACCAGCTACCTATTAGCAAGAAAAGTCATGTATCCAGCTAAAGTTGAATTCAGCTATCTTTTTAACGTGTACGCTACTATGTACAGAGAAGCATGCTGTATGTCGGGGACGGACTGTAGCCCCTGAAGGTACTCATATTTGGTATCAGTTCTCATGACAAATGAAACAACAAAGAGTCATTTTTTGTATAACACGCCCTAGAAACCTTGCAACTATGGTAAACCTTCGAAGTATTGAAGAGAACAATCACGAGAATCCCTAGATAAACTTCTTGAGAGAGTTGAATGATGATGCATTCTGCTCCAATACAGGTGTAGCAGCTAAGCAGTGCATAGCAGCTAACGGTAATAATCGTACGTTGTTAACAATGGAAGCCGAGCAATATGTGTACAGCTGCTGTTGCAAGAGCTATATATGTTGCTCCAATACCAAAAGCGTGCAAGGATACTACTTGATAATGAATGAGATGTGGAATCACTGAAATATCTGCAGGCGAAATAAGTAAGTTGAGAACGGGTGGTCGTTAACTGATCAAGGAATGGTGAGACCGAATGACCACCAGTAAATACAGATATGGAAAGTAAACAACCTGCGCTGATAGATGTAACAGCGTTGGGAATAAGTATGACGGTATATCATGGTTATTCATAGCCTGCATGTCATGCTACAAAAGATCAAAAACTGACTATAAATAAAACAGGCATCAGAATTCTGAACTATCATACTTTGACCCTTTAACTTTCAGCCATTAAAGCCCAATCAAACCCACTTTGGCCGAGCGTCTTTAATTACCCATGGCAGTCACATGTGAGTTATATACCCCTATTCTCCACATGTATCCACAAAATGCTTGCTAAAACGAAATGAACAAAGAACCATACGACCGACAAATTCCAACTCATAGCTACAGTAGCAGATTGGGCAATTGAGTCAATTCTAACCTTCGGCTTTTACCGAACAATGATGCAAGAGGCTATACGAAGCATTGTCACCAAGATGCCTGTAGGTTCTTACTCAAAATATGGTGGACATCTCACAGGTAGCATAGCAATTGGTAATACAAATGTAGAGCGAACAGTCGATTTAGATTTCGTATTCAACGTCCCGTTGGACAGTATTTTAGATCATGCTCTCACTCTAGTAGCACATCTTGGATTGTACATCATAATGTGAAGTCATTACTACATTCTAAAGAGAATCGCCAGGCCAGACTAAGTAAAACCAGAGTGTCGAAGTTCAATAGCTTTAATTCTTGTTTGACATATAGACTTCCTCCCTCATTCCTGGCTACATTTTTTTACCCGGAATAACCACATCGTTTGACATTCAGTTACGTTTTCGACTTGCTAAAAGCGTCCTATACAAAGCTTTCCCTTGTGAGCGGGGCATTAGCGCCATCTCATTTACCATTCGACTGAGCTCTATATCAAAGCGCATGAGTAGGTCTCTCAATACGTAAGTGGGTTGAAATATCCATACAATCAAATGTGCATATATGAGCATTTTCGTACTTTCCCCCAGGAAAATATATCAACGATTTTTCCGTTCGAAAATGAGCTTGCCCTAATGATATTCGCTCTGCAAGACGATTTGATAGGTGGATAGGATAGTTCGCAAGACTAACTGCACTCCCTATCGTACATTGCTCGGATTCCGATTATGCTTTCAGTTTTCCGGCACATTTTCTGGCCTGGATTTCAAATATTCAAAAGCATCCATTTTCCCAAATTTTAATGCGTCATCGGCAGCTGCACAAGGAATTAAGTTGAGTCGACGTCAAACTAGGTCTTGTTGGTGTTTTATCAAAAACAGCATTATAATATTGAAGTGAATGGTAAAACACCATAACACAAACTCCATTCGAAAACCATTTGCCCAAGAGGCAGCATCACTTGTATGTCAGGATACAAACAAATGAGAGAGAACACACAATATGGCAGTTCAGTTCATTGACCAGTGAAACCATACACACCATCGCAATGACAGTTGCAATCAATCACGCAAATCACAACCAAATTAAAGCGCAGACACAGGATGTATGCCAATGACAGCCGAATACATGGAGTGCTGGGAAAAAGTGGAACCGAATGCTACGTTGTATACCTGTTTGATCGTAACAATCCTTTGCTGCCAAATCGCAGAGACTCGTATCTACCAGCCAGTGGAAAGATCAAAAGGCGACAATAAACCAAAAAAATGTTCAGCGTGATAGATAAATGGGGCAGCGAATAGAACACTTCAAGTCAAGCTATAGTCTACAGTACAACCATTCGTACAGGAGCCCATATAGAGATATGTAATCTTAGGGCATCTATTTATCGATATAATGACGTATAATTGGTATTGATGCAAACTGGAGACATGTCATTCTGGTGGCCACGAAAAGTGGAATACAAGTTCTCATAATTTGCTTACGATTTTAGAACACGTACTCAGATCCCGCTTCTGAGCAATCGACACGAACCGCACCATACAAAAATGATTGTGAGACCAGATGGCGCATTGATATCGTTTACGCAGCCGAGACCTACACTCAAATCTACAAAACAAGTACTACATCATTCCTACATACTGCGCACAGAAACAATGATTGCTAGTGTAGTTATCGCACTCGATGCAGCCACGATTATTTACCCATACACCCATCATACCAGTCAAAACTTCCAAGATTTCCACATGCCCCTCCCTCGCTGCCAATTGTAACGGAGATATGCTCTTGTTATCGCGCGCGTTCACATCTGCACTATGTTTTAGCAGCAAGCGAGTGATTTCGGGCGCATTGATTAAGCAAGCAACATGTAGAGCTTGCCTTCCATTCTTGTCCCTGGCACCCAAAGATACTATTCCTTCATGTTTTCTACAGATGAAATCGACAGCCTTTATAGACCTGATAGTGTATTTCCGTGAAAAGAAGAGATGTGCGCAATGACCATTTAGTAATTTTCTATGGAACGAGTCAATACTCATCAGCTCGAAGTGACATAATCTAACTTTTAGGACAGCACAATGTAAGCCGAACTATTTTGAAATGGCAAAGCACACTGGCCAGTCAACATTTAATAATAGATCGTGTGACGACCAATAAGCCAATTGGTCATCACCAGACCAGATGGCAACATGACAAAAAATGAGTTCATATTTTATGCTTTGATAGATTGTGGGATTTGTTCAGCCAATTGTTCCTACGTTTGATCTATTTTAGTTCCAGCATTGAATATCCACAGTACCCTGGCCTCATAATACAACACATATCACAGAGGTAAGGTGATAGATCAGCACACAGCAAGAGAGTATCACTGATTGAAGCATAGAGGTCGACAACAAGCAAATATGGTGTTACACGCACACTTACTTCCGTCCACATTTACACACACACATACATTGATGTACATATGCGAATACAGTACCTACCCAAAAAAGAGCTGCTCACCTCGAAGTCACTGCGCACATGAGGGGCGTGTTACCGCTCGAATCTTGGATGTTGACAATTGAAGTGAGATCGTAACCGACCTGCCTACACGCATCGAATAGGATTTCAAGCACTCGAACATGGCCATGAGCTGCAATTTTCGAGGATATCATTAGGATCAATAGACAGGGCCATAACTACAAATATAGTAGTAAAATAAATAAATAGAAACGCTGCTATCGGAACGAATCTATACTGATAGTAAGAACATATAATGCATTGACAGACTGAGGTATAGTGCCCTGATGTCTCAAAGTCGAGTAGACTACTACATTATACCTCCAATGTAGAGCGAAGACTCAATTTTCAAAACAGTCATTGCGGGAAAAGCTGGCAGACCCCACCTGCGGTTGTGTGTATCGGAGTTCTACCATTGTGTGCTGCACGATTCCACAGGTCCACATCTTCATCCTGCAAAAACATTTAATGAGAAAAGAAAATAGGTCCGATATGTTGTGGTTGTGAGTAGTATACTCAAGTTCTACTTGTTTCATTCTAGAGCTACATATATCCTCTACAAGTAAAAAATGATACCCACAATTGACGTATAGACACAGTAACAGGTACAGGTATACTTAGCCACGCGCAAGCAAAAGTACTGAAACACATTCTATTCACTACCAGATATACTATGAAAAGCAGCTAAATATTCAGATGTCAACAATCACACGACCTTAGTATTAGAAGTAGAGCATAAATATTCTCATTCGCAATTTATACGCAGTATTCTAGATCACCCTTCTGTCAGTTTCCATACCAAATGTCAGTCAACACATCTTTGAAAACGCACATCACTATAAATTACTTTACCAGAGATGAAGTACAAAGTCTCCTTCACGATCAACTTGCGATCGATGACATGCACGGAGCACAACACAAAGTCTTTCAATAGTTGTCACAGTGCATTGCAGGCACTTCAGTTGACAAGCTGGAGCACATATTGAACCTGATCACCCCACCTAACTGAAAACTCTTCGTACAGAATACACACTGTAATAGGATATAGGACTTGAATACTACTTAAACAACGTACATCAAGTACAAGTTGTGGTGATAAAAGCTGATATTCTTTTTCCTACACTGTGTTTGTCCATGAGATAGTTTGAAAGCTACTTGAACAACGTATTGAAGTACAAGATATGACGAATATAAGCTGGCATAGGTTTCTGTGTATTCCTTTCTTTCTCCTACCTTGTGTTTGTCCATTAACTAGCCAACAATTAGATATAAGACTCGAAATCGACTTAAACAATTTCAAATACAAGATATGGTGATAAAACTGGCATAGGTGTCTGTGGATTTGTTTTTTTCCCTACCTTGTCTGTCCATAAGCTATCTAATAAGGTAATGGACTTGAAAGCTACTTAAACACCGTATTTCAAGTACAAGGTAGGGCGATATAGGCTTTAGCATAGGTTTCTGTGTATTTCTTTCTATCTTTTACCTGGCGTTTGTCCATGAGGTAGCTAACGATATCGACATCACCCACACGGCAGGCTAGATGCAGGGGAGTCCAACCGTCTTTATTGTATAGCTGTGAAGTGCAAGATCATGTTCAATATCAAGAAAGAGAATATTGAACTTTAGGATGATTGCTGCATAGCTATTCTTACTTATGCGTACATAGACTGATCATGAGATATAGAGTGAAATACAATGTCGACATGTACAAATTCACGGATCATAAGTGGACAATGCATGCATGTGTAGACACTTTTGGTGTAGCAGCAAGCATGCATCAGAAGAATTTCTTGTGCTTAGTGAGTTGGCGTTGGTCACCAAGCAGTTGTATATCGTATCTCACGCATTCGTAAGAGGTATCCGAATCATGGATCTGCGTATGCTGGGACATTTCTATCTACAATAACTAATCTCAACCTAGTGAAAAATTATAAGCTCCGTCGGGGTTAGGCAAGTTAGCGGTTTAAACAGTATTATACACATGCACAATACACGAACCGAGGCACCTTTACCATCGCATGGTAATTGTAAAGCCTTTCTCATGTGCGATATCATTCGAAAACGCATGCGCATACTCTACCCCAGCCAGGTGCGCAAACGTTTGTATATGATTGTAGGCGAGCGTACTCGAAGACCACAATGCACTGAATAAATATTCATCGAAAGGAAACATACAAAAAGAGGGGTAAATGTAGCTCGTACAAACATTGGTGAGGGTACTACTTCGAGATAGCATTGTCCTAAGTCTGATAACGTCTGCGTGCGACTAATTATGCCGTTAATTTCTTCACTATACGATACACAGGATACCTGGAGATTTGCCCCGGCCTCGACGAGGGCCTGAATCACCGCAAAGTGCGTTGTCGTACATGCTATCATCAAGGGTGTCCAGTCTGCATGCTTGAGGGGATCGATCTCGCAACCATAAAGTACTAACAGCTCCACTCCTCCTTTAATACCGTGCGAGGCCACCTGTGAGTATAGCAGATGTTTTAGTTGCATATATATATATATATATACATACAACACACACACACACACACACACATATATATATATACACACACGCACGCACACATACACACAC